GGAGGATTCTGCGGCAGCGGAGTGTAAAAGAGTGAAGGTGCTGGCGGGTGGGGTGTGGGGGGTTGTGCAAGGAGGTGGAGCCTTAGAGTGGGCCTGCTGGTGTAGGGGGCAGTGCGTCAGGTGTGAAAGCTCTGAATATGTTTCTACAAGGGTCTATGCCTGTAGTGTGGGGCATGGTTGAGAGTGTAAGAGTATGAGTGTGTGATTATGAGTCTTGAGCGTGACTTTGCTCATGGGGTATGCACTTCGGGAGGAGTGAATGAGCATGAATGAGAACTGGGCTTGGGACAGGCCAACTGTGAGAGTGAGCATGTGAGGACACCTGAGAACCCAGGCGAGTTGGAGTGTGTGAGGGTGTGAACACATGTGTGTGAGCACATCAACTGCTCCTGGGTTTGTGTGTCTGTTTGCACTCTCCAATGGAGGATATCCAAATGAGAGGGAAATCACCGAGGTCCCTGTCTGGAGAAAACTGAGAGATATACCATTTCTAGTTGAGGATTCCAGATGGGGTTGAAGGTCACGTGGGGCCAAGGTTACCTTGCTCCCTGGTCTGGGTGAGAGTAAGGGGCTTCTAAGTGGGCTTCTTGCTGCCAGTTACTGGCCCTGGAGGCTCTGGAGACTCTTCCCAGGGCAACAACTGGGGGGCCCCTTTCATGGGCAGCCCTTCCTTGGACTCTGTACCTCCTCCTTCCCCCTCCCTGATACTGGAAGCCTGGCCCCAGGCCTGGGGTTGGGCAACCAGGGTGGCAGGGTGTCTCTCCATCCCCCATCCCAGCACCTCCCTGTGTCCTGACGGGTTTCTCCCCACAGGTGACCAGCGCCATGTCCAGCCAGGTGGTGGGCATTGAGCCTCTCTACATCAAGGCAGAGCCAGCCAGCCCAGACAGCCCAAAGGGTTCCTCCGAGACTGAGACTGAGCCCCCTGTAGCCCTGGCCCCTGGCCCAGCTCCTACTCGCCACCTCCCAGGCCACAAGGAAGAGGAGGATGGGGAGGGGGCTGGGCCTGGTGAGCAGGGTGGTGGGAAGCTGGTGCTCAGCTCCCTGCCTAAACGCCTCTGCCTGGTCTGTGGGGACGTGGCCTCCGGCTACCACTATGGTGTGGCATCCTGTGAGGCCTGCAAAGCCTTCTTCAAGAGGACCATCCAGGGTGAGCCCCCACCCCCACTTCTGTGCCCTTTGCCTTCTGGGCCTGGCACTAACCCAATTGGTGCACTGCTGAGTGGCACTAGACCCCCAGACTGCCATGGTAGCACTTGGGGTTGGCAGCCTGGTGTTCCCAGGCCCTCTTACTTTCAAGGAATGCTCTTTCCCTTAAAAGTTAAATAGAGCCACCAGGATGTGTTGATGGGCTGGATGTGGGATGTGAGAGAGGACTCAGGATGTCTCCTAAGTTTCTGGGTATGACAGGCCGAGCACTTTCCACAGTGGCTCTGAAAAACTTGAGACAGCCTCTGCCTGCTCCTAAACTTTGTTCTTGCTTCTGGCAGCTATTGGCCTCTCACAAGCATAGAAAACCCTCCCCCCCTTCCTTTATGTTGATTTCCCCCAAACAGCACTAGTACAGGGCAGGTTTCATAGCTGAGAGGGGCTACATCCTATTTTAGCACCTAACTTTAAAAAGACTATTAGGCATCCTGCTAATAGTACTCAGGGAATTTTTCTCACTCAGGAAAGCATATTAAATATGAGTGAGCAAGGTGGTGATGTAACAAGCAGTACTTGGGATGTGCCTGTTACTTGCATTTTTATGTAAACCTCTGGTTACTTTGGGGCTATAACATGTATAATTTTTGAGAACATTTCTTGAGTGCTTACATTCATGATCTCAGGTACCCCCACAGCAACCTATAAGGTGTCAGCAATGTTACAGCTGAGGCCCAGAGAGGTTTTTAAAAATTTGTCCAAGTCCCAAAGGTAGAAAATGGCAGAACTAGGATTTGAACTTGGTTCAACTCAGGTCCAGAGTCGAGCTCTTAAATGCCAGATTGCTGCCTCTGCTTATTACTAATAACTGAACTTTGGACAGGTGCCTCAAATGATTGTGACATTCCAGCGAGTTTTGACTTTGCCATTGCCAAGACCCACTGGTCTAAAACCTCTGTGCTCCCTTCTGTCTCTGAAGCCCAGTGAGCCAACAGGTTCAGATCCAGTTGTCTCCTGCCTACCCTGCAACCCTTCCTTCTCTGCTGACTCAGTTGACAAATGTTTATTGAGCACTAGCCATAAACAGTAATCACTTATTGAATATTTAGGTATTATGAACCATGCTGAATGTGTTACCTCAATTACCCCCTTGAATTCTCACAACTCACCTTTATAAGGAGTACTGTTTTTATTACCCCAGTTTTACAGATGAGAAAACAGTATTTGAGGGCTTAGATATGGGACTTGTTCAAGGTCACACAGATAGTCCCCAGGCAGCTTCCAGAGCCTTCACAAAGCTGTGCTCTGCTGCCCTGGCTACTGTTCCAGGCATGGGAACTAAGGCAGGACTGCAGGTCCTTAAATGGTTTACATTTCTAGCTGAGAGGAGAGAGAAAACAATGAATTGCACACAATTGTTATAGTACAGCTGTATAAGTGCTGGAGGGTGAGGATCAGGATGTGTACCAAGGAACCTAGCTGGGTCTGGGGCTCTGGAGGACTTCCCTGAGGGGGTGTCTTGAGCTGAGTGTGGAAGCCTGGGTAGGGTGTAGGAGAAACACGCTAAGGGCATATGGCTGGTTATGTCATTCAGTCCTTGAAGTAGCCCTGCGAGGCTGGGAGGGCTGCCATGCACCAGCTATGAGTGCCCACTATGTGCTGGGCCTGTTCCAAGCATTGGAGACAGTCCTGGCCCTTGTGGAGCTGACACTAAAGTCAAGAGACAGATAATAAAGAAGATAAACATATATATATATATATATATATATATATATATAGCATATTAGATGGTGCTGAGAGCTGATGAGAAACTATTAAGCAGGGGCAAGTGCTGAAGATGTCCACAGGGGGCTTGTGGCATTCTCATCACCCTTCGCAGGGTGGCCAGGGAAGGCCTCCGTGAGGTGACAACAGGCAGAGATCTGAAGGAGGGAAGGGAGCTGTGGGCCCTGAGTTAGGGGCTTAGAGCCAGAGCAGAGTGCAAGGAGGGTGTCACAAGGGGTGAGGAGGAGCAGGGGTGCAGGCCTCAGGCTGCAGGGTTCACTGGGCTTTTACTCTGAGAAGGGAAATCACTGGCGGGTGTTGAGCAGGGGAGGGACAGGATCTAACTTAGGTTTTATAGGATGCCTCTGGCTGCAGTGTGGAGACTAACAAACAGGCAAGGGCAGAGCAGGAGGCCATGTTAGGAAGTAAAGCCCACCAGGACCAGTTGATGGGTTGGATTTGGGGTGTGAGACAGAATCAAAGATGTCTCCTAGATGTCTGCTTGAGCAACTGGACCGATAAAGTTGGTTTTGGAGAGGTAGATCAGGGGCTCCATTTAGGACAGGTTAGATTTGTGTGGCCTTCTAGTCAGACATGCAAGATATCGAGGAGGCAGTGGGATATGAATCTAGAGTTTAGGCAGGTCTAGGCAAGAGACATAAATCTGAAAGCCCATGGCTTAGGTACGATTGCCGTGGGAGTGAGACAGGTCTGAGGGCAGCCCTGGGGTGCTTCAATGGAAGGAGCACAGGGAGGTGCACAGAAACCACAAAGTGGCCAGTGAGGTGGGAGGAAAACCAGGAGTGTGTCCTAAAAGCAAAGAAAAGTGTTTCAGTGTTTCTAGGAGTGGGATAGGATCAATGGTATTAGATGCTCCTTTAGGCCTTGTAAGATGAAGATGAGAATTGACCATTGGAGGTAGCAATGGAGAGGCCATTTTAACCCTTGAAGAGAGCAGGTGAGGGCAGTAGAGCCCAGAGATGTGGCTTGACAAGAGGCCTGGGGCAGATGTAGTCTGACTCCCCTGGTTCCAGCCCTTCTTTTGCTCAGACAGGGGCCCCCAGCCCAGCAGCCATTCCTCTCACTGCCCCGGGCTTCCCTGCCCCACTCACGGCACTCCTGCTTTCCCCAGACCTGTGCTTGCCGGGGGCGAGTCAGGGCTCTCCTGTCTGCTGGGCCTCCTCCAGGCCCTGGGAGGCCGCCACTGGAGCCCTGCCTCTTCCTGGCAGGGAGCATCGAGTACAGCTGTCCGGCTTCCAATGAGTGTGAGATCACCAAGCGGAGACGCAAGGCCTGCCAGGCCTGTCGCTTCACCAAGTGCCTGCGGGTGGGCATGCTCAAAGAAGGTGAGTCCTGGGCAAGGGCCTTGGCGAGGGCTGGGGGAGCTGGGTGCATGGGGCTGGAGAGGGCAAAGCCTGAGAAGTTCTGGTGGAATGGATTGGGCAGGGGGGCTCTGTAGAGCAAGCCACCCCCAGCCCCAAGGACACAGCCCTGTCCTACAATTCAAGGGGTACGTCTGGACCGTGTCCGGGGTGGGCGACAGAAGTACAAGCGGCGACCAGAGGTGGATCCACTGCCCTTCCCAGGCCCCTTCCCTGCTGGACCCCTGGCAGTAGCTGGCGGCCCTCGGAAGACAGGTGAGAGTGCTCTGGGTCCTTGGAGCTCTAAGGTCTAGATTGGGCTAGGACGTGAGAGGCTTATCTGGCGTCATTCGCTGAGGATAGGTTATTTTGGGCACTGGAACCCCAAACTTCCCTTTATCTATTCACATCCATTTTCCCCAAAAAGCATTTTTGAAAATACCTTTTTCTGTCAGTCCCTGAGTAGTACAGCTGGGAACAGGGAAAGGTTTTCTAACACTCAGAACCTGTTCACAAACAGACTGACTTCCCCTAGGAGATAGGGAGAGCCCTTCCTGGAGAAAGGTGTCTGAGCCTGCTACCCAGTGGCCATTGAGGAAGGCCATGGGGGGACTGACTCTGGGAAGATGTTTGACCACAAAGGGCCAGCAAGGTGGTGATTTCGAGTGCCTCTTCCAACTGTCACTGCAGCCCCAGTGAATGCACTGGTGTCCCACCTGCTGGTGGTAGAGCCTGAGAAGCTGTATGCCATGCCCGACCCAGCGGGCCCTGATGGACACCTCCCAGCCGTAGCTACCCTCTGTGACCTCTTTGACCGAGAGATTGTGGTCACCATCAGCTGGGCCAAGAGCATCCCAGGTAAAGGGCCAGGTGATGTGGGCTCCTGTGGGTAGGCCAGGCCATGCCCAGCTCTGGTGCACTTGCTCAGCCAGGTGTGCTCCCCACTGTCCTCCAGGCTTCTCATCACTGTCACTGTCAGACCAGATGTCAGTACTGCAGAGCGTGTGGATGGAGGTACTGGTGTTGGGTGTGGCCCAGCGCTCACTGCCACTGCAGGATGAGCTGGCCTTCGCTGAGGACCTGGTCCTGGATGAAGAGGGGGCACGAGCAGCTGGTCTGGGGGAACTTGGGGCTGCCCTGCTGCAGCTGGTACGGCGATTGCAGGCCCTGCGGCTGGAACGGGAGGAGTATGTCCTGCTGAAGGCCCTGGCCCTTGCCAACTCAGGTGAGTGTGGGTAGGTCCTGGCAAGTCTCCAGAAGGCCCTCTATAACTGATGGTGGCACAGTACCATCAGAACAGTTACTTGCTGAAAGCCACAAAGGCAGGGGCCCAGGAACTGCACGTACGCAAAGGCAAGGCAAGGGCAGGCCCAGGAACTGCACATACGACTTTAAGCCCTAGTGCCATACTTACTGGAAAGGTGAATGATTTAGTGGGAGGGAAGGTGGGGGGAAGACAAGAAGGGGGGCCACAGTTGAGAAAGGGTGGGCTCTGGATCATGGGCAGGAGCAGTGTTGCCTCTGTCAGCCAATCAACAAATCTGTGTCTGGCTCCTGTGTAGGCCCCATCCCTCAGTGCCAAGCAGATGTGGGTTCTCTCCTTCCTGGAGATCGCCCACGTTAACAGCTGTCTCCTCCCTTCTTGCAGACTCTGTGCACATTGAAGATGCTGAGGCTGTGGAGCAGCTGCGAGAAGCTCTCCATGAGGCCCTGCTAGAGTATGAAGCAGGCCGGGCAGGCCCCGGAGGGGGTGCTGAGAGGCGGCGGGCAGGCAGGCTGCTGCTCACACTACCACTCCTTCGCCAGACAGCGGGCAAAGTGCTGGCCCATTTCTATGGGGTGAAGCTGGAGGGCAAGGTGCCCATGCACAAGTTGTTCTTGGAGATGCTCGAGGCCATGATGGACTGAGGCAAGGGGTGGGCATGGGTGGGGGTGCTGGCAGGACCCGCCCAGCATGGGGTCAGCCCCAAGGGGGCAGAGCTGGGGTCTGGGCAGTGCCACAGCCTGCTGGAAGGGCCAAGGCAATACCATCAGCCCCTGGGAGCAGGCCCTACACCCTCCTCTCCCCCTTCCTTGGGGGTGTTAGAAGCTGGGAACGTATGTGCCCAGGCTCTGGGCACAGTGCTGCCCCTTGCAAGCCATAACGTGCCCCCAGAGTGTAGGGGATGCTGCAGAAGCCATAGGGGGCTGCAGGGGATGTGTGGGGGAGGGGGGGCAGAAGCCTGATCTCAGGGAGGGGAGGGAGTGGAGGCCACAGTCTCCCAGTGGGTGATGCTTTTGCTGCTGCTTAATCCAACCCCCTCTCCAGAGCAGAGGGAAATTTGGAGAGCAAAGGCCCCTGCCCCCTTGGCTCCTCTCATCATTTGCATTGGGCATTCTGCCCCCCCCCCCCTTGAAGCAATAACTCCAAGCAGGCTCCAGCCCCTGGACCCCTGGGGTGGCCAAGGTCCCCCATCAGCTCCCACCTAGCCTCCTCAGGGGGTAGGGAGAGCACTGCCTCTATGCCCTGCAGAGCAATAACACTATATTTATTTTTGGGTTTGGCCAGGGAGGCACAGGGACATGGGGCAAGCCAGGGCCCAGAGCCCTTGGCTGTACAGAGACTCTATTTTAATGTATATTTGTTGCAAAGAAAAACCGCTTTTGGTTTTGAACCTTTAATGAGAAAAAAAATATATCGAGCTCAAGAACACTGTGTGGCGTGTCACTGGGTCAAGAGCTGGGAAAACATGTGACAAAACCAACAGAATATAAACAAAAATACGATCACAGTATGAAAAACTGATGTCTGGCACGATTAAGTCTCAGTTTCCTCATCATTCAGCAGCATGTTGGGGATCCCACGGGTGATGGGGAACATACGTCCAGACTCTGGGCACTGCAGGGTTCCCTCCACCACCTCCACCTGCAGAGGAGTGGGTAACAGAGCTGAACACTGGCAGCCTCTTGGTATGGCTGTGTAGCTAGGAAGCAACTGATAGGCCAGTTCTCACCTCGAGCAGCACGTGGTGCATCTTCCTCAGAAATGTCTCATCTTGCTCATACCCCTGAACTGGCCCTTTGGGCACCTCGTCCAGACGCAACTGTGGGCAAGAGGCCTAAGTTATCTCTGGGCATACCCCGACCCTGGCCAGGTGCAAAGGGCTGTGGTGAGACCAACCCTCAAAGGGTGTGCACAGGCAAGGGGAGGGTCCTCACGTGATCGGCCGCCTCCAGAAGCGCCGGCCACTCCACCTTGGGTATCATACGCGCCACGAAATCCGGGTTGAACTCCACGGGGATGACGCGGACCTCGGTGGCCTGCGGGGCGGAGGGGTTTAGTTAGGCAGGCGTCGGAGCCTAGTTCCCCAGTCCCTCCTGGGAGAAGGGCGCCAGAGCGTCCCCCATGTGGTACCTCGAGGCGCAGGGGGAATCCACGGGGTCCCACCCCTCGGACATGCGAGCTCAGCAAATTGTGAGTTAGCAGCTTCATGTCGCCTCAACACTCTTGCCTGCCTGAACCGGAAGGAAGCAGACACTCCGCTGCGTCACTTCCGGAGCCGCCCCGCTCTCCATCCAATCGCACGGCGGGGAGGAGCGGAAGCGGCGAAGTTGCTGGGACTTCCGGCGCTCCCGGGAGCGGAGGTACTGCTAAGGCCTCGCAGCGTCAAGCGTTGCTACGGTGCAGCCCCGTGGTTTTCGCTGAGCTAAACCTCCACTCGCTACAAATCATATACAGTGCAAATCGTATGCATGGGCCTTCGTTGAATGCAAAATAAACGTGTTTTACTCCTACGTAGGCGCCTGAAACCGTCGTCTCCTGACTCTCGCTTCGGTTAAGGAACGGAAAGTGCCCCAATCCGTTAGTTAGGCCCAGAGCGGCGCTCCAACCTTGTAGGCAAATAGGAGTTGGTTCGGCCCATTTGTCCTGCCCCTAATGCAAATAAGCCTGTCGTGCCAGCTCCGCCCCCGACGCGCGGCCCGGGCCTGCCCTTTGGAGGCGGCCCGCCTCTTGCAGGGTTTCTGCGGCACCGCGTTTCAGGCCCCACCTCCCGAGGCCGCCCGGGGGCGGGGCGATTGTGGCCTCGGGACCCGGTGTGCGGCTTCACCGGGATGTGCAAGCTGGGCCGCCTGTGGGGCTCAGGACTCGCCCGGGCCGTTGCCGTCCGTTGTGCAGCAGCGGCGGGGAGCAGAGGGTGCCGGGAAGACGGCCTAGAGTGGACGCGGAGCGGAGCCCGCGGTTTCAGAAGCGCCGCAGCCGCTATGGCCCCGATCAAGGTGACCGCTGGCCCAGTCCGGCCAGGCCTGACCCCTCTCCCCGCCTCGTCCATCTCTCCCAGGCCCTCCGTCGCGCTCGAGGCAGCCGCCCCCCGCCCCAGCCCCTCCTGCCTCCCTCTCTTCCTGCCCTGGACCTCTCGCCGCCGCCCTAGACGCCCTCCCGTCGTCTGTCCCGCTCTCCTCCTCACCAAACCCCGTGGCTGCCCCACCCCTGTCGCCAGTGTTAAGGGCTTCGTGCACCGTCTCCTGAGATGGTCCCCGAGGCCGCCGGGCCTTGTCTTCCACACTCTCTGCGTCACCCTCTGCTGGGGTCTCCACCATTTTCAGGCGATTGGCTACCAAGGCCTCCCCCACCTTCCGGGGCCTCCTTTGCCCCAGGGTCCCCCCTTTCAACCCTCACACATAGCCCCCACTGTACCCTCTAGCACGCTTTTGTCAGGTTGTTGGGCCTCACTCTCACCCCATCTTCTGAAACGTGTTGTCGCTTAGAGCCCCTGCCGTGTCTCCCCGATTCCACTCCAGCCACAGCCGATTCCCGCCCGTGGGCTGAACCGTCCCTGGCTCCTTAGAACTACCCCCCGCCCCTCCCCCAGACTCTTCCGAGACCTCCCTGTGCCTCAAACTGCTCCCAACCCCCCGACTTTCCCTCCCTTTGCCTCCCTCCTGCCCATGAAGCCCTCAACGCCCCAGGTAGACTGGTCCCTCTTGGACAGATTCCTTTTTTTATTCAGTACCTCTGGGATGTAGGGACCTGCACCCCCCTCTCCCCAAGGAAAACCTTTCCCACCTTCTGCTGTCCTCCCCTTTTCTCATCTTGGGGGTGGGACACAGGATCCTCTCCCTCTATTTTTGAGGTCCTCCCTCCCCCCAAATACAGCCCCCTGACCCTCCTCCTCCTGCCTAGTTACCGCACTTCTTTCCTGTGCATCAGGCAGCTTGTTTCCTCAACGCCTTGCAACACCTCCAAAGCCTCTCCCTTTTTCCGTTGCCACCAACAGGCCCTCAAAGAGGAATAGGGCCAACTTGAAACCTGGAGGATGTGGGGTAACTAGGCATTGCGGGGAGAGGGAAGGGCCGCAGGGAGGGACCTCTGGAAACTCTGACAGGGTTGGGCTTCCTGCCTCATGTCAACCCTGGCTTCACCAGCCCTGGCTCCTGGGCCCTGTCCCCTTGGCTCTTGGTTTGCTGCCCTTCCCTTGGCTTCCCTACTTGTCCCCCACTCTCCGACCCTTAACTTGGTGCCCTTCCCTCTAGGTGGGAGATGCCATCCCGTCTGTGGTGGTGTTTGAAGGGCAGCCTGGGAACAAGGTGAACCTGGCAGAGCTGTTCAAGGGCAAGAAGGGGGTGCTGTTTGGAGTCCCTGGGGCCTTTACTCCTGGTTGTTCCAAGGTGAGGCCCTGCCCTTCTGGGGCTCAGCAGTTGGGATCTTGGGAACATCTTTGCACTGTTCACAGTCCTCCATGTTGTCCCCAGGCAGCTTGCAACAACAGGATGCGGATGATATGGCAGTTAAAAAGCATTCCAGAGTGTTCATCAAGCAAATAGAGTCTGTGAAAAGGCAGTGGTATCAGGAATGTAGGAGAAAGGGTATTGCCATGAAATCTAACACCTCTTATTGACCCTGCTGGGTGACAGGCACTATGGAAGGTATTGGGTAAACAAGACATAATTATGCCTATGTTCCGGAAGTTCATGGTCTTGACCACAGAAATCTTAAGTATGGATCTGAGCTCCCTAGTGGCCAAGGCAAGAAGGAACTGTGGCTTACACAATTCTCATGGTCTAATGAAAGGTGTTGAAGCAGGGAAATGAAATCCAGGAGATAAAGGATAGGTGGAGGAGCAGAGGCAATTGTCCCTTTGCTGAGTCTTCGTTTTCCCTCCCCAGACCCACCTACCAGGGTTTGTGGAGCAGGCTGAAGCTCTGAAGTCCAAAGGAGCCCAGGTGGTGGCATGTCTGAGTGTTAACGATGTCTTTGTGACTGAAGAGTGGGGACGAGCCCACAACGCAGGAAACAAGGTGAGGTGTGGGTCCTGAGGGGATCAGGGGCCAGGCAAAAGATTTTTCTTGTGACCTTTATTTTATCTTTAGGTCCGGCTCCTGGCTGACCCCACTGGGGCCTTTGGGCAGGTGAGTGCAACCCCCAACCCCCACCCTACAGGGTAGTCTCTCTGCTAGGCCTTGGAAGCAGGGATTTGGAGGGACATGACCAATGTGGGGAGCAGCTGGGGAGCTTGGTCTGTTCTTGGGTTTCCTGACCCTTTTCTCTGCCTCTCTCTTGACTTAGGAGACAGATTTGTTACTGGATGATTCATTGGTGTCCCTCTTTGGGAATCGAAGGCTCAAGAGGTAAAAGTGGGAGGATCCTCCATGGGGTTCCCTTGCACCCTCCCTCTCTATTCCCAGCCTCCAGGTCCAGCTGTTGTGACCCACCGTACCCTTTTTCTGGCAGGTTCTCTATGGTGATAGATGATGGTATAGTGAAGTCCCTGAATGTGGAACCAGATGGCACAGGCCTCACCTGCAGCCTGGCCCCCAACATCCTCTCACAGCTCTGAGACCCTGGGCCCAGGCATACTCCTTCTACTCTTTCCTGTTACACCTGCCCAACCAGGGGCAGAGGGCCCCAGTCCAGCCTCAATTGGGGCCACCCAGTTGAAGCCTTGGCCAGATTTCTGCAATAAACACTTCTGGTTCATGTCTGTCTCCTTGATCTTGATTCTGAATTGCTGATTTGCTATGGCTCAGGCCTCATGACAGTCACAACTGTGAGGGTGGTAGGCAGGGGCTGAGGGAACACTGATATAGGGGACCTTAATTTAATTTAGAAGGTAGTCAGGGAAGGCCTCTTTTTTTTTAATCCTCACTGAGGATATTTTTTCCATTGCTTTTCAGAGAGAGTGGGAGGGGGAGAGAGAAAAAGAGAAACATCCATGTGAGAGAGACACATGGATTGGTTGCCTCCCACACAAGCCCCAACCAGGGCCAGGGATCGAGGTTGCAACTGAGGTATGTGCCCCTTGGCTAGAATCAAACCTGGGACCCTTCAGTCCACAGGCCAGCGCTCACCACTGAGTCAAACTGGCTAGGACAGGGAAGGCGTCTTGAAGGAGGTGTTATGATGCATCAGTCTGCAAGCAGAGAAAGAGCCAGTGGTCTGAAGAGCAAGAGAAGGAGCAGTCTGTGCAGAGGGAGCATACCTGGAAAGGCCTAGGCAGACAAAGGCTTGGCTTACACCCAGAACTTTTGCATTTGATCTCTGGGTGCTGGTTAATCTCATTCAGACCATAAACTCTTGAGTAGAAACTTTGGCTCTAGGCACCCTTCCAACCTGGCTCTAGGCATGCCCCAGCCCCACCATTTTTTCAGACTGTTGAACCCTCCCCAGGAGCACCCACATCCCAGGAAGGGCCCCTGGCACCTTGGGACCATCTGACTGGCAGAAAGAGCTTCATCAATAGAGGCAGTGCTGGTTCAGTCCAGGAGGGCTCGCTGGAAGAGGAGACTAGGTGAGCTGTGGAGGGGAGAAGATGGCAGTAAGGCCTGACCAGTGTGGGGTGTACTGTGAGCAGACAGGGATCAGGGAGGCCACCAGAATCTGGGGGTGGGGGCTGTTGCCTTCTGTAGGCCCTGCCCTTGGGCCTTTGCCTTTTGTCCCTGGGAAGCCATGTGCTTAGCAGCAAGCAGTGATTATTAGGCCTCTGCTGGGTTAAGAGCCCACAGTCTAAGGCAGGGCAGATCCATCAGGTGAAGTAAAAGTTGTCAACGCAATTCCGTGGGATATGTCAACTGAGCATAGATGAAGTCAGGAGGCTTTGGCTAGAAATAAATGATGGAGATTTATTCAAGGGTCTTAGGGTTTGCAAACCAGAAGCAAGTAGGCAATGCCCAGAGTGTTCGAAGAAGAAAGAAAAGCTGAGATTTCTTAGAGTAAAAAGTGCAGCCTTGAGAAGAGGCGGTCCTGCACTCAGCCTCTGGATCAGCCTGATGGTGACCTGGATGACTGGCGGTCTGGATACAGGAACACTTTTTCCTTAGTCCTTCAGGGGGTGGTCAGAGGGTTATCTGGAGGTTTGCTGTATGGGCATACCGGTTTGCTCCAAACCACCCTAATAAAGTGAGTCCTAATCTTTTTTCACTGGTGGAGAGTATTCAATTTGTAAAAAATGTATCACCTGTGAAGTGCAATAAAGTGAAAGGCAATAAAATAAGATGGGTCCTGTCGGCATGGCTCAGAGCACCCTCTCTGCCCTGCCTGGCCATCCGCTGGGGCTCAGCCCCCAGGCCTGGCGCACAGGCTGCGCTCACCGAGGGGTCAGGGAGAAGTCAAGGAAAGGCCTTTTGGAGGACACGGTCCTTGCGGCAGTGGGATTGGTGCTCCCGGCAGAGAGAACAGTGTGCCTATATGTATGCAGTGTGGAATGGCCCCAAGCTGCTGCCACACAACGTGGCTGAGAGGATGCTGGGAGGGCAGCGGCCTTGCAAGCCCCCTGCGAGCACCTCAGGCCAGTGAAGGATGTCTGCAGGGCAGTGTCGGGTCAGAGTCCCACCTGGGCTCCTGTGGAGGCAGGGAGAGGACCAGGTGAGCAGGTGACGTCCCACAGGTAGCGGCTGATAATGGGCACCTGTTGGGTGTTGGGAGGAAGGGGGTCCTGGGGGCCACTCCACTGGAGGTCAAAGGGGCTGGGAGGTTGGGGTGGTGTCCATGTGGATAGGGCACTCGGTATGGGGGCTTGTCTTCTGACCTTTGCCCCTTCCGTTCTCTACCAACCCTGCTGCCCCTCAGGGGTCCCGGGCTGGGGAAGGACAGGGGGCTGACCACCCCTCCTGGTCACAGCGCTGTCTTTGACTTGATGGCAGAAAGATCCTTTCTTTTCTGAACACCATCTCTCTGAATTTTCCTGTCATACAAATGAGGAAACTGAGGCACAGTAGCTCCCTCCCCCACAGTCACCTGTGTGCATACCAGTGAATGGTCTTTTTAAAAATTTTTTATTGTTTTTAAAAATATATCTTTATTGATTTCAGAGAGAGGAAGGGAGAGGGAGAGAGAGAGAGAGAAACATCAATGATGAGAGAGTCATTGATCGGCTGCCTCCTACACGTCCCCTACTGGGGGTCATGCTAGCAACCCAGGCATGTGCCCTGACCAGGAATCAAACCTCGATCTCCTGGATCATAGGTCGATGCTCAACCGCTGAGCCACGCCGGCTGCCACCAGTGAGTGGTCTTGAACTCCAGGTGGAGAGAGCATCTGAGTTGGCGGCTGGTGCCGTTCCCTGCAGCAGACCTGTGCTGCCCTGGCAGCTGCTTGTTAACAAGACAAGCCCAGTCTCCATCACTGCCACTCAGCTACCCCTGTTTCCTCCACTCCTGGCCTCTTATCTGGGCTGGCCAAGGCCCAGAGAGGCCTCTGAGAGGAAGTGTCCCCTCCAGGGTCCTATTGCCGCTGGCTGGGCCTTTAGGCTAGGGTGAGGGGGTTCCAGTGCTCCAGTGGCCCCTTCAGACAGCGTGATGGTTGGCAGGTGTGAATGGAGGTGGGGCTTTGGCCTCAGTGAACCTGGCTGTTGCCATATGATTCTTCTTTCTGGGGTGAGGCTCTCAGAGGGCTGGAAGGCCCCAAGTCAACTATCACAGGACAAGAGAATATAGCAGAGCTCCTGGCGGACAGGCCAGGTTTCAGGCCTATAAATAAGGGGAATCCAGGCCATGGTGGCCTGGATTAGTGGGTTCTGGAGGCCTGGGCTGTGCCTGGCAGACCAGTGGGCATGACCTTTCTGGGCTGTTGATGGCCAAAGAGCCAACTTTAAAACCAACTAACCAACCAACCCACCCATCCTGAAACAGCCACCCAACACATCCCCAAATAAAACCCTCCTGTCCTGTACTGCCCAAGGCCACAGCAACACTGACCCAGAAGGCCAAGGGTTTTACTCAGCATCAGTGGCCCTGGGCCTTTTCTAAGTGGAGTTCCTCTGAAGTGCTGCTAAGAGCAATGCATGTTTGCTAAGGAAATGCCTGTTTGCACAGGTGTGTGCACATGTGCACCCACAGACACCTACATGCTCTTTAACGGTTTCAAGGAACCCCTGAAGTCCTTCTAGGAATTTCAGCTGAGCCCTCCACCCCCATCTGGAAGCCTCATAGCAGAGTAGGGCCACCAGGCTTAGGGCTGAGACCCACCAGTCTGTGAATCCTGATCTGTTACCGAGAAGCTGCTGATCTTGGGCAGGTGCTTTATTTCGCTTGGCCCCACTTCCCTCATCTTTAAAGTGGGGAAAATTCAACCCACCTCATCGGGATGTTGTGAGGGAAAAAATGAGACAACTTATGTAAAGTGCTTGGCGCAATCCCCAGCGCACAGTAAATGCCCGATAAATGGTTATAGAGAGAAAGATAAAAAGGACCCTGCTGTCCACCATACAGCCTGTGTGCGGGGGTGAAGAGCTGGGAGTGTGGAGAGGCCAAATCCCAGGCCGGTCACTGAGGGTTTCTGTGACTATGCCTCTCTGGGCCTCAGTTTCCTCATCAGTATAATGGGGCCAGTGACTGTTATTTTCTAGGCCCCCAGGATTCTCTGTATGTTATCTGGTGCCTGAAGTCTCACCTAAGGAGCTGGGAAGATGTCTCCAGGAGGAATCTTTGCCAGACCCTAGAGAGTCAAATCTGAGCTTCTGAGAGAAAGAGTGGGTTGGAGGGGTCCTGGCATTCCTGGCCTAGACCAGGCTAGGATGCAGCCATGCGGTGGCCATGATCAGAAGCATTGGAGGCTACTGGCCCCAAGGCAGCACACCCTGCTGGTGGAGTTTGGGGTCTGGCCACACAGGCACCCAGTAGTGACAGGGGAGAGAGAAAATGTATGTGGGGGGCACACATATGTTTGTATAACTTCTGTGAGAATGCAGATTCTTGGTGTTAATGAGCCTGCATAGCAATCTGTCATGCTATTTATATTCGCATCAACCCTTCTTGCTTGAGCTGGGAATCATATCTTTGTTTGCTAACCCTCACCGGAGAATATTCTTTTCCACTGAGTTTTTTTTTAGAGAGAGTGGAAGGGAGGGACATAGGAAGGGAGAGAGGGAGAGAGGGGGGAGAGGGAGAAAAACATCAATCATCGATGTGAGAGAGACATTGATTGGCCACCTCCCGCATGTGCCCCGACTGGGGCTGGGGATCAAGCTCGAGACCCTTTGGTCCATGAGCCAACGCTCTAACCACTGAGCCACACTGGCCAGGGTGGGAATCATATCTTTTTACTTGACACAGGTAAGGTGTCCTGCTCAGGATGGGGAACAAAGGAAACACTCAATATGTGCTTCAGGAAGGAGTAAAGAAGTGAAGGAAAGGAGGGAGGGAGACAGCTATCGTTTCCCCAGCGTCCTGGATATTGCTCCTGTCGTTTCGGCATGAAATTGACTACAGTGGCCCTGAAGCAGAATTAGATTTGCTGGAGGTGATGTAAGTGCCAGGGACTGGGGACAGGCATAGCTCAGAGAGATGCAGTAGGAAGGTTGACAGTCTGGGGCTAGTACGGCAGCTCCGTGATGATCAGGGACCCACACTCCTTCCACCTTGCTCCTCTGTCGTTTTAAACACTGGCTTCTGCTTCACAATCCACTGTGGCTGCTTGAGTTCCAGCCATCACAGTCATAGGGAACAGGAGATAAAAGGCCCATCTTTTAAGAAGGTTTCCGG